TGTGTGTGTGTGTGTGTGTGTGTGTGTGTGTGTGTGTGTGTGTGTGTATATATCACATATATATACACATACTGTGGTGGTTCTCCGAGGTGGATTGCTGCTTTGGTTCTCTGAGGTAGGTTACTGCTTGTCTACATCTGTTGATGGTTCTTTCACTAACCTGTTACCGAGAAATACTTGGACAAAGCCAGATAGATGTTCAGTGACTTCAGTCCCGGGAATAAATTCCGCCTCTGGAGATAAACAGTTTCTCAGTTTATGTGAGAAGAATTTTCCCCCCTGGAGACAAGGTTTCTCTGTGTATCTCTGGCTGTTCTGGACTCTCTATGTAGGCCAGGCTGGCCTCGAGCTCACAGAGATCCACCTGCCTCTGCCTCCCTGAGTGCTAGGAACACAGGCGTGAGCCACGGCGCCCAGCTTGTGAAAAGACTTTTTTAAGGACAAAAGCAATTGAAACTTTTCAAAACAAAAGGATTCTTTCTAGTTGATTGTCCAAAATACTTTTTTATAATTCTTTCATGGAGATTTTGTGTCAGTAAAACTGAACGCACAGCCTACCTCTGTGTCCTATAATAGCACTGTGAATATTTGCAGTGTCTGCAAATTATGGCCGAGGCTTATTTTTCTCTGAGTACTGGTTTTTTACTCTGAACAGTTTACATCTAAATCTTGCATTGTTTAAAATGTGTTTTTGAATTGTAGTATGTTTGAAATATTCAGTTAAAATAACCCTTTTAATAATCGGGCTATTCCGAGTCATAGACTGTTTATCTGTCCCCAGAGCTGGGCGGTCATGGTAGCACTGACCAGGAGGTAGCATCTAATACGGCTTAGGTTTTCACACACACACCCTGGAAGAGTCAGCCTTTAAGAGCCAGCTGCTCCCCGGTAGCTGTGTGTAGAGCACGTGCAGGTCTTAATTAAATTTTTATGGTAGAAGTGGCCTTTGGAAGGTTTACAGAGTCACTGAGACGAGTCCTCACACACCCTATCTCCATCTGTGCTGCCATGTGTGAATGCCCACTGTGAAGTAGGAATGATTGGTAGGGCGTGTTAACAACAGTCAGGCCTCTGGAAGGCAGGTGTAGGCCCTTGGTCCTGATGAGAGCCAAGGTACCACAGGCTACCTACTGAGAGAAGACAGCTGCTTGTTCCTGCTGATCTTCCACGCCACTTACACTTTTTGATTTTAAATGTAGACGGATCGTGTCTAAGTGCCCAGGTACAGCAAGTTTAATATGTATGGTTTCTACAGCTTTAATAACCTTATGCATCCTGGTAGGCTCCATCTGATTGGCCCCTGAAAGGTTCTGTAGCAATAAAAAAAAAAAAAAAAAGATTCCATAAAGTTTCATTAAAGAAAAGGGAAGAAGAAAAAAAAAAACCCTCAGCTTTTATTATGGTATATATGACATTTAAATTCTTTGTTTTTTAAGATCCAAGAAAACATTCTTGGCCAAAATCTCGGGGAAGTTACTGCCACTTTGTTCTCTACAAGGAAAACAAAGACACCATGGATGCCATCAACGTATTATCCAAATATTTACGGTTAGTGTCTCGTTACTGTTTTTACATGAGATCAGTAAAGTATGAATGTGTTCTCTCTTTCTGTATGAATGGGGGAAAGAGCAGGAATCAGAGACCAGTGAATGACAAATGTGCTTCCTAATGGAGTTAATGTTCATAGGAAATAGAGCGATAAACTTCTTAATCCCCATGCTGATAATTGAAGATGAAAGTTGTGGAAGTAAATAATCTACACACAGTTACTAGAACAGCTAGAGAAAGTTGACATTTGCTCAGAGAAATGAAAATACAGCAGAAATTGTACGTTTTTCAGGGTAGGTGAGGTGCCAGAATTTTTTGTGTGTCTGTGTTTTTAGTAGAAATGAAGAGATGGCTCAGCACTGGCTGCTATTTCACAGGACCCAGATTAATTCCCAGCACCTACATCTTGGCCTACAACTCCGGTTCCCAAGGGTCTGACACCCTCCTCCGGTCTCCACAGGCGCCAGGCATGCTTGTGGTGCACACAAGTACGTGCAGGCAGACACTCATTCACATAATACCATTTATTTTCTTCTTTCTCTCCTTCCTCTTTTTTATTGGTTTCTCAAGACAGGGCTTTTTTTCTGTAGCAGACCTGTCTATCCTGAACTTACTGTGTAGACCAGGCTAGCTTCAAACTCACAGAGATCTCCTGCTGCCTCCAGAATGCTGGTAGTGCACCACCATGCCCACCTAAAAGAAAATTTTTTTGAAAAAAAAAAAAATGTCTGTGTCTACCACAGCAAATTTGTATTCTGTGTAAATTTAACTCAGTGTAAAACAGGGCTATACAGGGTATAGTGTGTGTGTCCCCTCCCACCCCCAAGACAGGGTTTCTCTGTGTAGCCATGGCTGTCCCGAAATGGCTTTGTAGGCCAGGCTGGCCTTGAACTCACCGAGATCCTCCTGCCTCTGCCTCCCCAAGTGCTGGGATCACGTTACCAGCTTACTCCCAGGTGTTTCCTAGAGCGGCCATAACAAAATGCCAAATACCGTAAACAGCAGGCGCTAGAAGTGATTCTCCCACAGTTCCGTTGCTGGAAGCTTCAGGGTCAGAGTATACAGTTTCCTTTCTTTGGTTTTTGTTTCTGCTTGTTTGTTCAGATAGAGTCTGTAGCCTTGTCTGTCCTGGAGAACCCAGTGTAGAGCCTAAGAAGTTCGCTTGTAACCTGATCATGTCTTTGAAGGCTTCCAAAGGCCGTACTGTGAGATAGTGGGAGTCAAGGCCCAGGGTCTGAGGAGAGCACAGGTCCACCCTGAACACCTCTTCCACTAGCTTCCTGAAAAAGGAGTCTGGTTTCTTGCCAGTGCCTCATCTTCTGGACAGCAGATGGCCCTCCCAGGGATGTGGATGAGTGGCAATAGTTCCTCTGGCATGTACAGGTGGGACTTCCTGGGAGTATGCAAGTGCTCTTCTGAGGAACCAGTCTGTATGTCTTCATATCAGAAGTATCCAGACCCTTGTTTTCGCGTTCGGCTTTTTTTTTTTAATGCAGAGTTCTATATTATATTTAAGGTAAAAATGGTCAGCGTGCTACACTATACCTCTAGAATATTCCCCCTTTACCGTCAGTTTTATGTAACTTAACACATTGTTTCCGACTGGACATGTGTGCAGCCTGGGAATTCTTTTTTTTTTTTTTTTTTTTTTTTTTATACTGCTTAGCCAAGTCTGAGCAGCAAGTAATTCCCTGACAGCCACTGAGGTGCTGCATCAGGCCCTGACAAGAAGGCAGCTTGTTGCTGCTTTTATCTTCATGTTCATTGATATTTTCCTCAGTAAAATCTCCACTAAAGTTTCCCCTTATTCTCTTACTGTATTACTCTATGTATTTTGAAATTCAAGTTATTAGAAATGTGCTTTGGTAAAGTATGTGACTTCAGAATGCTTTGTTTCTGTCTCCCCAGAGTAAAACCAAACATATTTTCATACATGGGAACCAAAGACAAAAGAGCCATCACAGTCCAGGAGATTGCTGTCCTCAAGTAAGTAGAGAGAGAGCCAGTCCAGAATGACAGCTCAGAGGTCCTAGCTCTGCCCTCTACTGCTTTCAACCTTATGTGCCTTCTCTACCTTTTAAAACATTTCAGGCATTTTTATTGCATTTATTTATTATGTGTATTATTTACATATGTATACCCACACATGGCACATTTGTGGAGGTCAAAGGACAACTGGAGGGGATCTGTGTGGGTCCTTTGGTGGACTCAGGTTGGCACGTTGGCAGCCTGTATCTGCTGAGCCATCCTGCCAGTCCAGCTTCAGCTTTGTTTGTAAATATTATCTTTCTACTGAACTTTTTTTTACCCTGAATCTCTGTTTCCTAATCTGTCAAAGTTGCTTCTTTTTTTTTTTGAGTAATTTTAAAAATCTGTTTGTGGTAGAGCCAAAAGAACCAGTATGTGTTCTTCAACATTCACTTATCAAACGGTGAATAAGATCTTTTGTTTATAACAGGCAGACAGATGAGAAAGATGGTTTCTGCTTTGGAAGCACTTCTGGAACAGGGCAGACATAGAGCCCTGCCGCTAGACAGAACTGAACTAGGGGTGTGCTTTAGTCGGTCGGCCTGCGAGTGCAGACTCACTGTGGAGGTCAGGCAGGGAAAGTTTGCACGGGTAATGGGGTGCATCTTACCTCTGCGCTGTGCGCTTTTCAACTGTTACAGCCTCTGTTGTGGGAACTGGTCCTGGTCGCTGTACTTAGCAGCCTCCCTGATCTCTGTCCTTTCCTATAACAGGCACATAACAAGCTCATACACAGCTGTGAAAATAAAAACATCTCCAGAGTTGTCACATACGCCCCCTAGGGAGCACTGTTGCCTCTGATTAGAACTAATGGTTTTGGGGCTGGAGAGTGCTTCCAAAGGTCCTGAGTTCAATTCCCAGCCACCACATGGTGGCTCACAACCATCTATAATGGGTTCTGGTGCTCTGTCCTGGCCTGCTTGCACACATGCAGGCAGGATACTGTATAAACAAATAAACAAATCTAAAAAAAAAAAAAAAGGCCAAAGAACTAATGGTCTTGATTCTAGGAGGATGAGCTGTTTCTTGGGGCCTGGGAAGTAAAATGTTATAGAGGTACCAGAAGGACTTGTGAAGCAGCACATCGACTGGCTGGTAACTAGTTTTGTGGGCATGCAGCAAGAATAAAATTTTCAGTGTGCTCACTTCAGCAGCATCTCTGCTAAAACTGGAATCATACAGAGGCATTAGCATGGCATCTGTAGAAGAAAGACACACATTGGTGGGCTATTCATTACTCTTTAGGTGAATAGATGCTACAGCAAAGGACTAGGTTCATTAAGCAAAATCACCAAGACTCAGACAGTTACTCCATCCCCCTTTCCTAGACGCAGTGTTGTTGGGGGGGAGGGGATGTCGTGAGACGGGAAGACGAGCTCTCAAGGTGGGGGGGGGGGGGATATGTGTGTCAGAACTGTAGAAGTGGAGATTGTTTTTGAGAAGGTTTGGAACCCCAGCAAGAGTTGGGCATGCACAAAAGTGCAGGGGATGGGTGAGAACAAAATAAAATGACATAAAGAAGCTCATTTACGCTGTATGCTAAACTAAAAGGGGGAAAAGGCAGGAGAGACACAATAAAAGCTATTGTGAGACTATTAAGAAAGGAAAAGGGAAGGCAAGGAAAGACTGTGGGGGTGGACAGGATCCAGATTCTGAACGACCAAATGGGGACTGTTTTTCCAGCCCGCTCTATTCTAGCCCTTTTCTTCCTTGCCCTGAGGCAGTGGCCCGTTGTCATAGGCCTGCCTCTCCATCACATTTACTGAGTGTGTGTGAAGATGTTGCTTTGTTTGGAATGGGGGCGCAGGGGGGTGTTGCTAATTTGAGGATTAGAAACTTAACTTTTAAATGGAGGCACCAGTCTCCCTATCAGCCAGCAGGTGTCAGGCTTGGTCAGGGAACTGCTCTGACCTTACAGACCTTGTTTTCATTTTCCTGTTGCCTTTGTGAGGAACTATAACAGACATCCGAATGCTGGCCTCTGAAAGCACACTACACTTATCTCGCGGATACAGGCTACACCCTGCGTTTGCTTAATGGAGCCGTGTGCTGGGCAATTGGCCTTTCCCGTGAGAACTGGTGAACAGGATAAACCCTTTCTGCCATACAGGGATTTGAATTATTGCTGGGTCGATAGTTCCGGGATAAGCAGCATTCCTTCCCAGCTTCTTGCAGCAGGAGCTCCAAGTTTCTCAATCAGAGTGACTTGCTTTTCCTCCCTGCTCCTGCCAGTCTCCTGTCTGAGCTTGGGCCAACATTTCTCTGGCGTTTTTATTACAGGCTCATGTGTAACTGGTCAGCTTGTTGGCCCTTACTGTTTAAAAACAAGATTGTCACATAGGATTCTACAGCCAGAAGCACTTGCTGTGCAGTCAGCAGGATTGGCGAACAGTGTTGTCAGTGAGTGCCTTCACCTTCAAGAACTAACTGTTGCTCTGGGCTCCTGCTGTACACATGTGGAAACGGCCGTCCATTGTGTACTGGGGAATAGAATGTTATTCAGCTATAAAAAAACGAGTGAAATACCAGTGTATCTTATAGCATCAAGCCTTAGGAGCAATGTATTGTTGGGCATGTTGGCACAAGCCAGTAGTCCTGCCACTCTACAGAGTAAAGCAGGAGAAGAGCAAGCTTTAAGCCAGCTTGGGCTACACAGGAGACCCTGACATTAAAAAAAAAAAAAAAAAAATTACACTAAGTAGTCAGGCAGAAGAAAACCACTATTTGATTTCTCTTCCATTACTTAATTTCATTCTGTTGGACATGAAATGTCCAAAATGGGGAAGTCTGCAGACAAAAAAAATTTCAGGGGCTGCAGGGAAGGCCAGAGGCCATGGTCAGTGCTGAGTGGATGAGGTTTTTTTCAGGTGATGGAGACATATTGAACACATTATGAGTATATACTGAAAAGAGCTAAAACGGCGAAATTTATGTTTTGAAGGAAGGACAAGGCTGGGCTCTCACCTTTTTACACACACACACACGAGGCAGAGGCAGGCAGATCTCTATGAGACCAGCCTGATCTATGTAGTGAGTTTCAGACCAGCAGGACTACATAGTGAGACCCTGTCTTTAGAAAGGAAGGAAGGAAGGAAGGAAGGAAGGAAGGAAGGAAGGAAGGAAGGAAGGAAGGAAGGAAGGAAGGAAGGAAGGAAGGAAGAAAGAAAGGAAGAAAGAAAGAAAGAAAGAAAGAAAAGGACAGCTGTCAGGCTCTTTCCTGGACTAGTAAGCAACCGTCTCCAGAGGTCACCAGAACAGCCAGGCTGACACCTCCGTCCTTGTTAGCTCCTGGCTTTTGTTTTTGCTTATTTTATTTATTTATTTGGTTGGTTTGTTCCTGCTCTGAAGTGATGCCACTTTCTTCAGCAGTGTCTGCTGACTGAAGAGCTCTGTCAATTGGTCCTCACAGTGTTTGTGCCAAGCCTGTGCTTTGTGGAGTCTTTGTGACATAGTAACTCATGCCCTCAACTTCCCGCTTCCTCCTTCACATGTCAACCCAGGGGCCTGCTGTGACGTGGCAGCTGGAACCCACCTGCTCCCTTGCTTGAGCTAGCCCTGGTTTGTGTGAGGTCCTGCGGGTGTACAGGTTTCCCCCATGTCCTGACTTGGATGGCTCTCTTCCTACCTCTACTACTGATTAATGGAGCAGCAACTTTTTTTCTTAACTGAGTAAAGCTGGCGGTGTGAGGCCCTAAGTCCAGTCCCCAACACTGACCAAAAGGGGCAAAGCAATGGAAAGCCTGGTCAGTCCGTACATATCAAAAGAGGAAATAAACAAGCTGACATTCAGTACACCAAGGAGTTAGTCAGGGAGTATTGACACAGCTTTGCTGGAAGAGCTGGGGGTAGCTTATGGGTAGGATGCTTGCCTGGCATGGATGAAGCCCTAAGCTCAATCACCAGCACTAAAATAAGAAGAATTCCAGGAACTCAGCTCTTATGTAGGTGATGTGTTGTCTTTGTGTGGATAAATGTCCAGCTTCTGTGCATGTGCCCTGCTTACATGCCTGGTGCCCATGGGAGTCAGCAGAGGGGTCAGATCTTCTGGAACTCAAGTTCCAGATGGCTGTGAGCCACCGTGGCCATGCTGAGCGTCAAACCTGGATCAGCTGCAAGAGCAGCATGTGCTCTTCACTGTTGAGCCATATCCCTGGCCCCAGGTGAAAAAGTTTTCAAGTTTTGTTTTTACTTTGTGTGTGTGCCCTGTGTGGGACCTTCAGGCCGGAAGAGGGCATCAGATTCCCTGGAGCTGGAGTTCCGGGTGGTTTGCAAGCAGTATGCATGCTGAGAAACAAACCGGCCCCTAAGAGCAGCAAGTGCTCTGAATTGCTGAGCCCTGTACAGGTTAATTCTAAACATTTTCGTAGCTTCATTTTTTTTTTTTTAATTTACTTATTTTGTGACCAAGGAATAGAGCGAGGTTGCCCCACTAGCTTCCTCCATGCGTTGGAACTGGAGAGGCCTGTGGAACGTGTTCCTTGATTAGGTGCTTGGGGGCAGAACCACACCCACGAATCCTCCAGTGCTTCCAGAGTCCCGTCCTCATAGGCATGAGCATACACACATACAAACGTTTACACGTACACACGAACATAAACTCCTGGCAGACTCGGGCCAAGCTCACGTCCTTGCCTCTGCTCCTTGACAGAGTAGCTGTCTTGTCAAAGGAAACATGGACATAGGAAAAATTAAAACCACGTTTTTAAACACCATGGTGTATTGTGTGCATTGTTTCTAATAATTGAAAATAGGAAACAACTAGTCCATGATTCAAATTAGAGACTCTTGAAGACAATTAATGGTCAAGTAAGTAAGTAAGTAAGTAAGTGAATTCTTGGGGCCCAGATGGTAGAAAAGAGGGGCCTAACGACTCCGTTTCTATTCAGGGAAATCTAAAGATGCATAAGGAAGCATTCAAGATGAAGCTCTAAAGTGGCTGGCACTGGGGGGTGAGGGCGCTGGCAAGCACCTTTGACCTTTACAGTGTGTTGTCTTTTATGCTGTATTGTGAGAAGTATTTTTTTGGTTTTGGGTGTTTTTAGTTTTGTTTGTCTTTAGGCAGGGTCTCACTTTATAACATTGACTGACCTGGAACTAGCTATATAGACCAGAATGGCCTTTTTATAGCCCTTACGGGGGCTTTTGAATTTTGGAGGAGGGAGGTCATTTGGTTTTTGTTTTTAGATTCATCTTATTTTATGTGTCATTATTTTACCTACATTTGCACCAGCTATAAGCTTGGTGCCTGTGGACGGCAGAAGAGGGCATTGGATCTGGAACCAGAGTTACAGGTTTTCAAGAACCAGCATGTGGGTGCTGGGAATCAAACCCAGGTCCTCTGTAAGAACAAGTGCCCTTAACTGCTGAGTCATCTCTTCAGTCCCCCTTATATGTCTTTTCAAATAAAAACATAAAATTTATTCTTTTCAAAATTTTAATATTTCAGAACATGAAGCCTCTCAAACAAACACCTTTTTTGAGGGTGTTGTGTTAGTCTGAACCTTCTTTCAAACCTTTCCAGGTTAGGAGGCTAGAGAGATAGTTGAGCAGTACTGTGCCTCTTGCAGAGGACCTGCACCCACACTGGGCAGTTTATGACCTCTTGTAACCCTGGTACGAGGGAGAACAATGGCTGGCCTCCCAGGGTACCTGTACTTATTCACACACACACACACACACACACACACACACACACACACACAGTTAAAAATAAACTAAATCTTTCACAGAAAGAAACTGTTAACGCCAGCTGCGTTACGGGGATAAAGAAAGAACAAAGACTCTTCAGTGTAGTGTTTGCTTTTCTACATAGATTTCCTGTTGAGGAAGACAAAAGGCTTTCTAATGAAACAATTCTAACAGCATGGGAAATACTTCTGTAAAATGATAGCAGGGTGTGGATTTGTGTGAGTCTAGTTATGTACATCTTTAAATTGTTTCTTTAGAAGAATGAGGAGATCCAGAGATGTAATGCTTTTTCTGGGGGTGAACCTGTGGGTTTTCTTCTCTACATTTTTGTGTTTTCAAAGGTTGTTGGGTTTTTTTTTTTGTTTTTTTGGGGGGGTTAAGATATTTTTCTTACTGGCCCAGTCATGACTAATCTTTACTTGAATGTCAGAGACCCACCTTTACCTATGTGGGATTACTGTCTGCTACCATCGGCTTTGTCACTAACTGCCCGCAGAAAGTAGAGACCTCCACGTCTCACTTACGTGTTCCTCGGTTTTTAGGTCCCAGCATTCCGGTACTGTTTGCACAGGAACAATTCAGGGGATAGGACAAGTGCAGCGAGCTGCCTTCTGCGGTCTTCCCCAGTAGCAGCCTTGGTGTGCCCCTGCCCTCCATAGGATCTCATGGGCTTTTCTCTGCTCCTTTTTTCTTTAAGAATAAGTGCACAGAGGCTTGCCCACCTGAACAAGTGCCTGATGAACTTTAAGCTAGGGAATTTCAGCTATCAGAAAACCCCTCTGAAACTGGGAGAGCTTCAAGGAAATCACTTCACTGTAGTTCTCAGGTAACGTACTGCAGGTAGGAGGACAGAACCTTGGCTCGCTGGGCCTTCGTGAGTGTTTTCATTTGTGTTGATCAGGATACGGGAGAGCTGGTGCAAATGAAAATGCTGACTGGGAGAACAAGGCCGGTAGGAGTTAGGAACAAATACTGTGGAGTATTTTTCCTGATAAATGGGTCTTTCTCTCCCCAAAGCCTCCCATAGCTTTCAGAAACACTGTGTTCTTCAGATAACAGTTTTGAAAGATAAAGAGCCTGTGATTTAGTTGGTTTGGGGTGCCTAGAATGGGCACATTCATAGAAAGGTTAGAGCTTGCTTTGGCAGAGAGTTATTTGTTGGTGTAAGTTTCAGTCTGGGATGAGGCTCATGCCTGAAATCCCAGCACTCAGGAGGCAGACGCAGGAGATCACACTACTCCTTCAAGGTCAACCTGGTCTACATGGATTGCAGGCCGGCCAGGGGCTAGCTGTATATGTATGTATCAAAACTGTTGTAAAATAAATAACTAAATGGATTCGGAGACAGCGAGCAGGTTTGAGAACTAGGTAATTGTAGTTGCTGTACCACACTGTACGTGTGCTTTATGCTATAATAATTTGCACTTAATACTGATTAAAGGGGCTGAAGAGATGGCTTAACGGTTAAGAACACTGACTGCTCTTCCGGAGGACCTAGGTTCAATTCCCAGCACCCACGTGGCAGCTCACAACTGTCTGTAACTTCAAGATCTGACAGCCTTACGCAGACATACATATAGGCAAAACACCAATGCACATAAAATAATTTTTTTAAAAAACTGATTAAAATGAGCTGGGCAGTGCTGGGACATGTCTTTTATCCCAGCACTGAGGATTAAAGCACAGAGGCAGGGGAATCTCTGTGAATTTGAGGCCAGTTTTGTCTACAAATTGAGTTCTGGGACACCGAGTGCAACACAGAGAGACCCTGTTTTAAAAAAAAAAAAGTTGGTTAAAATGATGAATTTACATAATCAGATTAACAAACCGACAGAGTCCTCAGGAGCTAGAGACAAGATTGCACAGGTGAGATGGCAAAGCTGCTGTTATGACGGGCATCATAAAATGTGTTTGACTGTCGTGTTTTTCTTTGGGTGATTTGGGTCCCTCAGGAATATAACGGGAACTGACGAGCAAGTCCAGCAAGCCATGCAGTCTCTGAAGGAGACTGGCTTCATTAACTACTACGGCATGCAAAGATTTGGGACCACAGCTGTGCCTACGTACCAAGTTGGAAGGTTTGTATTGATTTCCTAACATGTATCTGTATGTTTATCTTTTTATTGGGGGGGGTGTTTGTTAGGTCTTTTTTGGGGGGACGCTGTCTTGCTATGTAGCTCTGACTACGTAATGAGCGTGAGGACCTAGCCTCAGATCCCCGGCATCTACACAGAAGCCAGGTGTGGTGCAACTTGCCCAGTGATGGGCAAGTGGAGACAAGTGGGTCCCTGGACCTCTGGCCAACCAGACTAGCCTAACCAGCGAGAAACTCTCTGAAAGACTAAGGTGGAGAGGCACTGAGGAAGACTTTGGGCCCCGCGGTGCACTTGTAGAGCACATACAGGCACGCGCACACTTGAAAAGGATAAGATGTAAATGGTAAATTTTTTTCTCTTACTCTTATTAGCCATTTCAGAGGTCTCTTGGTTTGGGGTGTTTTGTTTTGTTTTGTTTGTTTCTTTGTTTATCTTTTTATTTTTCCAGGCAGGAGTTCTCATTCTGTAGACCAGGGTGGCCTCAAACTCAGAGATCAGAATGTCTCTGCTTCCCTCGTGCTGGGATTACAGGCCAGCGCCACCGCACCTGGCTTTTCATTTACTTTTGAATAGGTTAAGCGGTCAGCAGTCAGAAGTTGAGTCACACAGACCCAGAGCACCCAACCCCACGGCGTGCACATGAGTCCAAGTTGATGCATCTTTCATCTTTCCTCCCCCCATCCTTTCAAGAACACCCTAGAAGCTATAATTAGTAATGTGGAATTTAAGAGCTTGGTTCACATACAGATAATAGGCACGCCTTCTGACGTAAGTTAAGAGTAGAGCTCTCATCAGTAAATGCTTGGTTTCCTAACCGTCCTGTGGGGATCTGAGCGCCCAGCAACTCTTCATGAGGGAGTTAGAAGAGCGGTAGTTACACCTGAGCGCGGCCTTAGAACATTTGTTCTTCATTCTCTCTCAGCAAGGATGGGGCTGTGCTTCGGGAGGGCATAGAACAGCGATAGAGACGGTTGGCTCCAGTGCAGTTTTTCAGCATCAGCTTGTATTTGCTTGTGTGATTTTACAAGGAGCAGTCTGCTCTGTGGCAGCCCCGTGCCTCTTCAGGTGGTTGTAGAAAGTGAATACGCCGGCAGTAAAGCGAGGCCGGAGCTCGGAGCCTCAGATTACCCGTCTGTAAGGTGGAAATGATACCAAACTTGCCAGAGGGCTGGGAATGAGGGTGGAGTTCAAATAGAAATAATGGTAAATTAAGGCTAGGCAGCCACTGTGGAGTCCAGGACAGCTCCATGGAAGGCCGAGGTAGGATTGTGACAGGACGGGCCAGCCTGGGAAACATAGAATGATTTAACCTGCTAATTTAGAGAAGAGCAACACACAAAAAAAGCTTAGGTCTAGGATGTGGCTCAGCCTGCAGAGGGCTTGCCCAGTGACCATGAAGCCCTAGAGACCTCCAGCACCGAAGGGGGAAAGGCCACCACAGTGGTTCAGAGAAGATACAGGTGCGTATAGCAGGCTGTTGTGGGGCAGAACATTTAAGGAGGGTTTCGCCAGCCTGTGTATTTTTACTTTAACTCAGCAGAAGCACAGCCGTGGGACCCTATAGTTTTGTATTCCAGAGGAAATCAGTAATAATTCCTCAGTAAAGTGCTGTCAGATTTACCCAGAAACAGACACTGAACAATGTGCCCACAGGCCAGTACAAGCTGGTTCCAGGTTTCAAACAATTCGTTTTCACAGCGCCAGACTATTTCCTACCTTCAGAGACCTGACGGCTATCACCATAGAGTTTCCTAAGGGAAAATGCCAAGTCCCAGTGTACAGTTAAATGGACGATGATTTGTATCTAGGATAAAGAAAGACAAGATACGAAAACCTGTTGTTGTCCATAGCAAAAGGACAACTCATACTTTTCTTTAAAGTGTTTGGCATATATTAATTACACACTCTGGTTGGTTTCTTTCTTTTCATATGTCTACATATTCAGTTGAATCCTCCCATGATACTCTCTTACCCTCCCTGCTGCCCCTCCTCCAGTCCCCCACTTCTTCCCAGCTTTCTTCCTGCTTACTCATGTGTTCTATGTGTGTCCTGGAGGTTCATTAGAGTTGTTCATAGGAGTGTGGACACCTTCTCACTGAGCCCCACTGTGTACCATGGCAGGGATTGACATGGTCTTGTTAGCAATCTTGTAGGTTCAAGAGGGCAGTGGTTCCTGTCATGCTCAGAAGTTAGCTCCCTCGGCACTCCCACCTCCAGCTTTTACTTTCTCTCCACCCCCTTCTCCTTTGATGCTCCCTGGTCTTTGGAGATGATATAGATGTCCCATATATGACTGGACATTCAGAAACTGAATCCAGGTCTTCTGCAGGGGGGGGGGGGGGGGGGGGGCAGGGTGCATGTTGAGTGTAATGCTCACAGAGGCCAGAAGAGGGCAGCAGATTCTTGAGCTGGAGTTCCTGGCATGCTGGATGTGCTTTCTGGGATCCAAACTTAGGTCCTCTGCAAGAGCACCACCCTTCACACCACCACCCTTCCAGCCCCAGAGACGCGTTTTACAGTCGGTACTGGTCACTGAAGTCTGTATCATTTTAATGCATACTTTTGAATTCAATAAACAAGTAAGTGTTAACTTGTCGCCCAACAACTGAGCATATAAAGCTTATCTTATGCAAATTAAGTAATATAAATACCGTTTAATTCTAGAGCAATTCTACAGAATTCCTGGACAGAAGTCATGGATTTAATACTGAAACCCCGTTCTGGAGGTAAGAAAAAGATTTGGGTTAAAAATCAAATTTATAGAATATATAGCTAGTATAGGAATGTATAGGAACTGTGCAGGTTGTTATTTTAAGTTCTTGATTTTTTTTATATTAAACATTTTAAATGCCATTTTATTTTCACAGTTTTAAGTATGGGATTGAATTTTTAAGATCCGTATTGTGGTTTTAGCTCTTTCTTCATCTAATGTATTCGTGCATGATGAGACATACTTGAATTCATTTCTCTCCAGTACAAATTCTCTGTTTATAGGAAACTTGTTTATATGGCTATTTTGTTAAAACATAGAATAATAAAATATGCACTCTTGGCAAAATACCTTAAAGATTTTTAAAGAGTTCACTAAAATTTCAGGAAAGATCTCTTAAAACTACATCCTAAAAGGGGGATTTAATTGGTAGTTTATAAACTGTCAAAATAATAATACTCACTTTAGGTAACTATTCATTCATTTGCAAGCTAAAAAAAAAATACTGTTTTTAATTTTAAGGAAAGCACCCCATCAAACTTGAGAGTACAGTGGTCAAAGAAAAGGAGAAGCTTCCGTCAAGACTTGTCCCTTGCTGGGTTAGCTGGGGTGGAGATGAATAATAATTCTTGCTGTGACAGAGCCATTGAGTAAACTCCCGGGGGTCCTGTGTGTTTGCTTTCAGGCAACTGTGAGCTTCTTGGTCACACATGAATTTTTTCCCAGTTTTAAATCCCCTATGAAGCATGTTAAGTGGTGCACATTTTTCTGTTGGACAAGTTTGACCATAGCTTCTCTTCTCCCACAGCTGAAAAGGGGTACTTGGTGAAATGCAGAGAAGAATGGGCCAAGACCAAAGACCCAGCCTCTGCCCTCAAGAAACTACCTGTCAAAAGGTGTGTGGAAGGGCAGCTGCTTCGAGGACTTTCAAAATATGGAATGAAGAATATAGTCTCTGCATTTGGCATAGTGAGTGCAATTTGTGAAGTCAGGCAATGACTCAAGATGGTTTAATGCCTTTTAAACATTATCTGAAAAGATTCTGAAAGAACAGCAAATAAGAATCCTTTAGTGATCTTCAAAGGAACTTACTTGGGTATACCTCATTCTGGCCCTGAAGGGTGGTGAGCAGATTGATGTGGGAAATGATGGCGGCGTTTGTGACATTAGAGGGACAAGAGAGTATCTGTGGGAAATAACTAATTAAATGCAATTTGGGAAATTCAGAACCCATGGTAAGGTCATTTCTTTTAAAACTGTATTTTGTGTTTGTGTCCATACATGAGCCCACACGTAGCGGTCAGGACAGCTTGTGCAAATGCATTCTCTCTTTATATCGTGGCCCTGGAGATGAAATTCAGGTAGTCAGGCTTGGCTACAAGTACTGTTATGAGCTGAGCCATCTATCTGATTGCATTGTACTGTCATTTCTTGGTCAGCATCTTCACTGGAGCTTCAAACTGCCTACCTAAGAAGGAAGGTTAGAGAGGCAGTAGTGAGTGGTTGCCTGTGGGTGTTTTCACGTCAGGGGACCATATTGGTACGTGTAGTCTGTAGGTGTGTATAGTTCAGGACGCTCTAAAGTGCTTTCCCACTGAGCCACATTCCCAGCCCCACAACCAGATAAGAAGTCTGAGTTCCTTGTGTTAGGATTACTACCAAATGAACAAAGTATGAGAGGAAATGGCACTTTACATGTTCAGAATTATTTCTTTGCCTGTTTCTTCTTTCTCTGCAGATACCAAGAAATAATCGCTTAATGTATATCCATAGTTATCAAAGTTATGTGTGGAATAACATGGTAAGCAAAAGGATAGAAGACTACGGGCTGAAACCTGTCCCAGGGGACCTTGTTCTCAAAGGAGGTAAAATGGCATATTCTACTGTCATTCAGCCAAAGTAGGGCGCAGATATTTTATAGCTGTGTTTTTGAAATCCAGCATGGCTACTAACTAGTTAAGAAAGACATATGTAGTAACTGGGAGACAGAAAGGCAACAGGAGCTCAGGCTGCTAGTTTGTATCACCAATGAGAAAATATGTTTTGAATAAGCGGCGGAGTCTGGGCCTCCAGGTAATAAAGCAGAATAAGCTTTGGGCCAGTATTGGCTAAAAGTCCTTTACAAGCATTCATCCATCAATCTGGGTCTTCGAAATATGTATATTTATGGATGTGTCTCAGTGTTTCAGTTTGTCATCAGGCAGTTTCTTCAGGTGAATACCAGCCTGGAGCTAACTTTATTGGTGAGCATGATAGAGTGATCCACAGCATTAACATAAGAAATGCTCGCCAGTCATGGTGGCACTCAGGAGGCAGAGGCAGGTGGATCTCTGGGAGTTCCAGGACAGCCAGGGGTTCACGGAGAAACCCTTTCTTTAGAGGGGGAGGGAGAGGGAGGGAGGGAGAGAGAGAGAGAGAGAGAGAGAGAGAGAGAGAGAGAGAGAGAGAGAAGAAGGAAGAAATGTTAATACGGGTCTAGAGCTGTGGTTCCGCTGTGATGCGCACTGGCTGTTCCTCCAGAGGAGCAGCCATACCCAGCACCTACATGGGGGCTCACAGCTGTCTATAACTCCATTTCCAGGGGCTCTAATGCCCTCCTCTGGCCTCCGGGTTTCTGCCCACACATGGTACACAGACATACATATAGGTGAATCATCCATATACACAAAATAGAATCTTTTTTTTTTTTTTTTTTTTTTAAGTGCTAATAGCCTGTCTTCTATGAAACATCAGTGTGTGTCTATGAAACATCAGTGTGTGTTTGGTCTTAGGCTTTGCCTGCATTGCCCTGTCACAGTACTACCAGGAGGTACTCTGGTTTTTACCAGATTCAGCCCCTTGCTCAAGGTTCCTCAGCCAATTTTAAAAGGACCTCTGGATCTGGACATCTTGTGCTTTTCACTCACTTAGATGTGTATAATTTTAGGAAGCTGGATTCATGAAAAAAGCTTTTTCTTAACCTGCTGTTTACTTGTGGATTTGCAGCCACAGCCACCTATATTGAAGATGATGATGTTGATAATTACTCCATTCATGATGTGGTGATGCCTTTGCCAGGTTTTGATGTTATCTACCCCAAACATAAAAGTAAGTTTCATGTTTGGGGCCAAATAGTTAAAAGAAATGTAATGTGATTAAGCTGACAGTAGCCAAGATTGAAGCAGAGGGAAAAATCAGCACTTGATTTTTTTCAGCTTTCTTTCTAGCAAGTTTTAATAAAGATTTAGCTTTCAAAAATATATAAACTTCTGAGTGTGATGGCTAATCCCAGCAGAGGCTGACAGATCACTGTAAGTTCAAAGCTAGCCTGGCCTACAAAACGAGTTCCAAGCCAACCACGGCTACATAGAAATATATATATGAACAATACTTTTTTTTTGTTTTTTTTTTTTTTTGTTTTTTTTTTTAAATGGTAAAGGTCTTCTAGAAAGGAATGTATTCAGAAGATTAGTTTAAATTAGAAGCTACCCCAGTGTAATGTCATGGGCCTGTGAGCCCAAGTGCTGAGACTGGAGGATTGCTTCAGCCTGTAAGTTGGATGCCAATCTAATTTACTTCCCATTGTGCAGACTTTTGTCATGGCTTCTGTCACCTTCGTGGGTGCCATTGGTGGCTTTCGGCGTCTGTGGCTCGGGGATGCAGTGTCAGGAAAGGAACGGCTCTGGGCGGATTGGGAGAGCTGACCTAGTACCTTCTCCCAGCCAGCACTGGCTTGTGGATAGTTTTGTTGTTGTTGTTGTTGTTGTTTTCTGTTAAAAATAAAGTTTTTCCTAGGTCAAAGGGCTATATTTCTACTTGTTAATGTTACATTCCTTGAAATGTTGTAAATTAGAAAATGATGAGGACTAAAGTCCTCTTGGGTGATTGGATACCCCTAGGCAGGTTTATCAAGCTCTGATTTGTAAGTGGTCCACATCGCCCTGCTGCCTGGACTGGCTGACATCACTGAAGAGAAGGGAGTGTTGTGAGCAGGAGAGAGTGAGGAAGGCGGGCAGGGATGAGTAGAGTCTGCTTCCCATGGCATCAGCCAAGGAGAGAGTGAAGATGCTAAAGCTCGTGGTTGCCTCACAGCTGCCACGAGTGCCTGTTGCTGAGGTGTCCTGCCTCTTCCTGAGGTGCCACTTTTTCTACTTGCTGCACGCCACAGCACAGCTATGGTTTTCCTGGCACTTTGGGCTTCCTTACTTTTTCTCTGAAGGCCCCCTTCCCTCCTTTTTGCCACATGGCTGACCTCTGAGCCTGACTCAGATGGCATGGCCTTTTATCTTCCTCCTTGGATGGCTGCTGAGATCTACAGCTTGCCTTTTGTGGAGTTCTTTTAAACTCTGATAAGAGCCAGGAATGGTGGCACACACATTTAATCCCAGCACTCGGGAGGCAGAGGCAGGCAGATCTCTGTGAGTTCAAGAACGGCATAGTCTACAAAGCCAGTTGAGGACAGCCTAGGTTACACATAGAAACCCTGTCTCAGAAAACAAAAGAAAGAACTGATAAAATTGTCCTTGTGCTTTTAAACAGGAAAATAAAAATAAAAGCAAAGCCTTGTCTTAGTCACAGTCCTCCTGTAACTGATAGCACAAATAGAGATAAGGGGGTTATGAGAGGCATTGGCTAACTGGATTATAGCTACTGAGAGGTCCCAGGCTCTCCTCATGCTAGAGGACCAGAGAAGCCATTGGTCTGACAGTCAGGGGCTTCAGGTACAAGAACCTAGGATGTGCTGGTGCAAGTCTTGAAGTCCAAGAGCGGGAGAGACTCTGTCTCAGGGCTGGGAGAGAGGGAGCCCTGTTGCCTTTGTTCTGTTCAGGGCATGTCCAGACTAGAGGGAGTCCTCCGACCTGCATGCCAGTCTCCGGCAGACCCCGGATCACGACTGTCGCAGACACCTGTAGGGTGGCCCAGACAGTTGGTCTGATCAAGAGCCAAGTGTCCCGGGGTTCCCTTTCAGTAGCAGTGGGCCAGGCTCAGTTAAAACAGAAGAAATAACGTTGACCAGTACACTGCTCCAGGGTCCAGTTTTGCTTCTTTTGCTGTGATAAAACATTACGACGAGAGGCAGCTTAAGGAAATAAGGATGAACTGGACTTACCCGACCTGATCACACTCGGTCAGGACAGGAGCTCTAGCAAGAGCAGGTGCAGGAACTGAGGAAAAGCTGCTCATGGCTGCCTTCCTCTGGCTTGCTCAGCTAGCTTCCTCCGACAAACCGGGACTACCTGTCCAGGGGTGGCAACACCCACAGTGGGCTGGACCCTCCTCTATCAACCAGCAAACTGCACCGTGGACATGCTGCCGGCCAGTCGGATGGGAGCAAGTCCTTAGTCAAGAGCCACTTCCCCCAGTCTGCATCACGTTAACACAGACTAATTGGTAGACCAAGTATCTTAGTCCTGGAGCAGAGAAAGCCAAAAATGTCAGAGGAGGAACAGTTGAAGGAATTAAAGTCAAAGGAAGCGGCTTAGAGTTCCGGCACTTACACACGAGGAGGACGGCTAACCTGCCATGTTTCAGAGGAGTCAGCAGAGTGGCGGAAAACAAGCTGTAATAGGAGGGACCTTCGCATACCGGGCCTCCTGTGCTGGTTCCCCCACAGGTGACGCATAGGGGATACTAGAAACTCTCCTGTGGGCTGAGGTAAACCAGATGCTCTCTAGGATCTCCTATTTATAAACATTTAGAGTCACCGTGTAGTAACAGAAACTCCACCTGAAGTGGCCTTTTCAAGCTAGCCTAGAAACTTGATGCTACAAGCTATATAGCTGATTACAAAAATAATACCACAGGGTTATTTAGCTGAGGCTGGAGGTGCCTTCTAGGCCTGGTTACTAAGTCACTAGAGTTAACTAACTTGGTTAGGGCAGTCTTAGTCCACATGCCTGTTCTGCTCTTTCTAGTATATAGTTCAAGGTAACCTGCTGACCGGCTGGGTTCCAATTAACTGTGTTTTGTATTAGTTAGTGAGGCCTACAGGGAAATGCTCACCGCAGACAATCTTGATATTGACAACATGAGACACACAATCCGAGATTACTCCCTGTCGGGGGCCTACCGGAAGATCATTATTCGGCCGCAGAATGTCAGCTGGTGAGTATAGACAGATGCAGAACTGCGATGTTTTATAGAATCGCACGGTTTTGCTGTGTGCGTGCGTGCGTGTGTTTCTGTGCTCAGAGCCCAGCGTAGAAATGCTCCATGGCTGTTGACTGTCCTGATTGCTGCTGTTACTACTGCCACCCATTAGTATTTTTCAAGTGATCAAGAAACTAGTGTTGGCTACAATCAGATATTGAAAGTTGCTTCTTTTGCATTTTGTTGCTATTCCTGACTTACTGAACAAGTATACAGAAAATGAGCTTTCTTCCCTTTCTCTGTAAAACTTCCATTTGCTTCAGGGGCTGGAGAAATGGCTCCTTGGTTGAAAAGCACTGGCTGCTTCTCCAGAGGACCAGGCTTCAATTCCCAGCACCCACATGGCAGCTCACAACTGTCTGTAAAAGTCCCAGGAGATCCACACCTTCTTCTGACCTCCTTGGGCCCTGCACACGGGTGCGCAGACACAGATGCAGGCAAACCGTTCATACATACAAAATACAATTAGAATTTAGAAATTAACATTGTTAAAGATACATTTGAAGCTTTTTTAACTTTATCATGGCAATGGGCATGAATTTGCCAGAGTTGATTTCCACCCTCTGGAGAGCAGTCCCTCCATTAGGAGGTGATAGCTGGCAATGGTACCCACTGTGGGGGAAGTCTTAATGCCACCTCACCTATACAAAGTGAAGCCCACCATGCTAGGAAGACGTTCCAGATCATCTCTACCTTCTGATGCCATTTGTCATCTACCGTAAAGTAATAGAAAGGGAGTCTTCATCCTGTGAGGACTGGAAAGGCAGCTGTGCACACAGTGGTCCTGTTCTGGCCCTCAGGGGGTTGCCGGCCAACCTGTATGTCCTCCTTGCCCAACAAGTGGGGCTGAAGAGCTTTGCCCGCTCACACTCATGCTTCTCTTCATGTGTTTTGAAGGGAAGTCGTTGCCTATGATGATCCTAAAATTCCGCTTTTCAACACGGATGTGGACAACCTAGAAGGAAAACCACCACCAGTTTTTGCTTCTGGTAAATCAGCAAGATGGGAGGTGTTTTTTCGTGTGTGTCTCTGTGTGTGCTCATCACACAAGCAGGGAGATCAGAGGACAATTTGTGGGGGCTGGTTCTCTTCACCCTGTGGGTCTCAGGGGTCACACTGCAGTCACCAGGCTTACCGGCGGTGCTTTTACCCGATCTTGCCAGCCCTGCCTGCCCTGTTTATCAAGGTCCCTGAGTAAATTTACCGCGGCCATCCAGCTGGTTCATATGCTCATGAGTTCTCATTTCGGTGGTCTCATCTTCTGAGTGCCCTTGGGGAGCAGAACCATAGGGGAAGGGGTGTAGCCTTGGGGGAGGCCTGTGATCTTTGGTCATCCTGCAGCTGCCTTCAGTCTTTGACCATGCTCATCTTTCTTGCCTGGCAGAAGGAAAATACAGAGCTCTGAAGATGGACTTTTCGCTCCCTCCATCTACGTACGCCACCATGGCCATCCGAGAAGTGCTAAAAATGGACACCAGCATCAAGAACCAGACTCAGCTGAATACCAACTGGCTCCGATGAGCAGTGCGCTGAGCTCAGAGAGGAGACACAGACCTGCTTGCTGACCTCCTGTTCTTTTCTTTTTGAAGTGCTGACTCATGTTTGGAATTTGAAACTTTTGTAGTAAAGGATTATTTGTATTTTTTTTTAAAGTTTTTATCAGCTTAAAGAAATAATTTGCAATATTTGTACACATATACAAATCCTGAGGATCTTAATTAGAGCTCAGAAAATATAAATTGGTCAGAATATACTTTAGGTGCTTAAATTCTAGTTCAGGACCAGCTTTCTGGCTTTATAGCAAACAAATAAATGGGGACTTTGGTTTAAAATAGTAGTTTTAGGTTTTTCTGTGCACCTGAAGTACAAATGATAATTGTTTAAGTCCCTGCTGGGATTACACAGTGGTTCATCTCAAGAGCAAACGCAGCAAACAAATCTTGACTCTGGAAATTAGAGAGTCCACACTTGCCAGGCACACATGCCTATAATCCCAGCACTCTGGGAGGCAGATCTCTGTGTGTTAGAGGGCAGCCTGGTCTTCAAAGCGAGTCCAGGACAGCCAAAGATACACCATGAAACCCTGTATCCAAAAATGAACAAACGAAAAAGAGTCCACACTTAACAAACAGTGCTCATATTGGTGTCGGTGACAACAAAACACCCACAAGTTTATACACACAGCATGGTTTCCATTGTGCAACTGTGTGTGTCAGCGCCAGGCAGGCATTTTACATACATCGCAGCTTGCAGTGGCTTTTGTGTTCATACTATCAGCATCTTTCAGGGGAGGCTTTTCCTTGATACAAACTTGTAGTTTTTATTGGGTAAGGTCTAATTTTACTCTAGGTGCCTTTTACTTCCAGAACTCTTTCCACTGGACTCCAAAGTAAATAGTGATCAACAAGAAAATCTGGAAAACTGAAAAGGGCTCCTCTTCCCAGCAGTGTGCCCTGTCAGCAGCTGCTTAGGCATCTCCATCGTGGGCACTGCAAACCTTTGCCTTTCTCTGAAAGGATGGATATGCCTTTCTGAAGTTGTGTGACATAACTCTATCAGTTTCATTTTCTATTATTTGTAGAAGCAAATGTAATAAATATTTTTTAAAATCCCTTTCTACTGATTATGTAAATAAATGTTAAAATCTTGTCTCCGCCTGTTGGTGGCGGTGTGGTCCTTTATTCCCAGCA